TATCTTAAGAAAGAATTGAGAATCCCTAACAATAAATTGTTTGGGGCAATATCTTAATGTAAATGAACAAAACATAGATTATATAGATATTTTCATTTATTAAAAATAAAAATTATGAATATATATAAATTGATTAAATATATATATATATCGCAGATTATAATAGGTTCGAAAAAAGATATTATATTTTTGTGATCATAAAATTCAAGATTTTGGAAGGATGAAATTTAGTGTAATATTATGGTTGACACAGAGATTTTTCGGGAATCGTAGGTTAATAGATAAATATAATGAAATTTTATTAATGATAGAATTTGCAATTATCATAATAATTTAGATTTTGGCGAATTAAGGAGTTAAAGTTTGAAGAAAATTAATAGGAATATGATTCTATTTCAAATTGAAATATTTAATACTAAGAATTAAGAAGAGGAATTATTGATATAACATAATTTTATATTAAGAAAGAATCCATCCATAGAAATTATAATTCTTTGCTAAGATACCTATTATAATTTCGATATTTTTCAATTATGATAATATTTAATTATGATTCGGTTATTTAATCTATTATTTTTCGTCTTTTTTTTCATTATATCCATAATTTATATATATTTTTCACTTAAATCCATATATCAATATTTTCGAATTCCAAATATTAGCATAAAACAATAAAAAAACAATATAAATATAGATAATATTAATCTCTATTATATGGAATATTTACATATTATCAAGAATTATTTACCAAATAGAATTTGTATTATTTAATAATTTATCTTTTCATCTTCATTCCAAAATAATATATAATCCAATATATATCGTCCTATCATCAATATATAATTAAATAATCATATAATCATTTTCCTATTAAATCTTTTCGATTAATTTAATTATATTTATTATTCATTTATTCATTCTCTGCCGGCGGAGAGGGCTCCGCCCGTGTTGGGCTTGCAACCTGAGACAAGTCGGCTACTTCTAGAGCAGCTACCCGGGCGGTTTAGTGCGGTCGAAGGCAAATCCTAGGAGGCTCGAACAATTGGAACGAAAGAATTGGATTGCTTCTCAACAGTCCTCCCGTGCATGGGCGTCAAAGCCGCTGCGGAGGTCATCCAAATCAGATAGACATCCTTATCCATCTCTTCATTGTGTGCATATGCCATGGGACTGCGACCATCATCGGTCAGAAAGCATCTTCCTCCGGTGCGCAAAACACTCTGGTAGTGGCCACATTGCGATTCCTCACCTCGGTGCAAAATTACGGGCGCAACCGCAACAAATTCTTTCCATTGGACCGTGCATCCAGAAGTATGCGTGAAGCAAGGGAGCCGTATTACTTGTCTATTCCACTTCACTGGTTTTTTGGATCGAATGCCAAGGGCTGGGAATCGGTTGACCTGAAGACAGACCGTGGTAGCTGAGCTTACAAGAGCATATCGAAAAGGTGGTTGGGAGTGCCACAACTCAACAAGATCCTGCAAGGTATTGCCTCTGGCCTTTTCTGCTCTCAAAAAGATGGGTGCACAGGTCATTCCCCTGTCTTCGATCGAAATCTCAAATGTAGATTCCCAACGAGGTGCCTGCAAGACATTTACAAAAAAAAGCTTTGGTGAAGAGCTTGTCTAAATCACCCCGTGAATTTAGTAGCGTCATGTTGACATCCGTCATTATAAAAAACGAACCATCGGGGCAGGAGGCGACCAAGATAACCATGGTCAGTGAGCCATTGAATTGCAGGCCCTTAATTAAGCAGCAATTGTAACAAAGGTTTCCTCCATGTACCGGTGGTGTGCTAGGCATAATTGCTATGATGGCCTCAAACGAAGGAAGATGAGTTGAATCAAACCATTGCTTGTCAACTAATTCCTGGGAGGCCTGACTGCGAAGGCTGAGACCGAGGCGCCAAGGGCTCACCACATTGCCCCTGAGCGATCTGATCGGTCTGTATCGGCTTGAGCGCCGAGAAGCGCTGAATCAGCTCCGGCTGATTGGCAAGTTGATGAATGGGCTGGATTATCTTGGATGCATCCTCCGAGGAAATAGGTTCCTTGGCGGTGGGTTTCACTGTCTTGTTTTGATGGTCCCATTGCAAGTAATTCCATATATTGGTTGGGGTCAAGATTTGTTTGGACCTCAATGCAAGGATCAATTCGTGGTCGTTTGATCCTATTGGGAGCTTGGCCGCACGGCTCGCTAGTTCTTCGAACACCGCCTGAAACATTAGCTGACGTAGTGGTCGGATGACTGTTCCCTGTTCTCTCTGGCCATGCTAATCCCGTGAAAACTGAAACATCTGGGGCAAAATCGAACTTTTGCCTGCCTGAATGAAGAACAAAAAGGTGCAGTCTAAATTCAATTGATTTAAATCTGGTTATTATAATCAATAACGAATCGTCGACCGAGCCCGATGAGCACGAATGCCGTCTCTGTCCATTGCGAGGTCGGCGATGGTCGGATGATTTGGTTTCCTCTTCTGATCGCGATCTCTTGAAATGATAATCACAGGCCTTCATGAGATCTGCAAATGATTGATCGTCGGCCTGTATAGTATTCATCTGTCAGGCCAAATGAATTGTAATGATGAGTCTCTAATTCAAACAATAAGGTCTGCAATTAAAATAATTGTGGCCACAAGGTGTCATGGAAGATTAATTGATCGGCTTGGATGAGGCTACAGTCGTCTGAGGTCCAAGCCCAATGGATGGATTGCAACCCAGTGCACAAGTTCAGGAGCTGAAACTGCGGTGCACTCTCCAGTATGATTTGTGGAAACTCAAGGATGTGGGCCACCCAGGGGGCAAAGGTATCAAACCAACGAAGGCGGACTTCTGGCCAAAACGATGGTGTATTCTGCCAATACCAATCCTTCCAAAAGGTCACGAGTCAAGAATAACAGGTCTGTGGTCAGGTCAGAATGCCATGTTTGGATATTTAGGCGGCATACGAAGTCTACAACAATCCACGCTGAGATCAATCCTCTGGGAGGATGGGGTTCGATCGAGGCCCTCAATGGGCAGCACAGGCTGGCGCATCGAGGTCCCAACCGGTTCGGTTTTTTGATCCCTAGTCGGCGCGGCTGTCCCAAAATGTCTGTCCTTGACCCATTTCGTCAGTAACACCGAGCCAAACAGTGGGCACAGGACAGACGGCCAGGCAACATGTCTCTGCTTGGTCGAAAATCAAAGAAAGCCGGTTTGTCCACCTGATGATCTTTACGAAATTGGCTCGCCAAACCCTTGCGTCCGATGGTCTCAAGGCAAAGAGGGCAAGCGAATGACTTGAGGGGGGCCGGAATGTCAACAATCGTCCGTGCAAACATTGCTTGAACAGTGTCAATTCTGGGTATCTTAGACGCTCTAGGCATTATCTGTTCAGAGGTTGTGTCGGTCGTGTCATCGGTTTGCGTGGGTCTTTCAAGTCCGATGGATGTCAAAAAGCGGCTTTGACAAACATGGCATGAAAAAAGGGCCTGCTTGGTCTTCTCAGCGCCATCAGTCACACGAATGTCTGGCTCCAATGGTTGGGCAGATCTCGGAGAATTGTTGGAGGTTGCTTGAAAATCACCTTGCACGAGCAGGGAAGGTGCAGCCGGAATCGATCTGTGCTGGGGCATAATTGGCATGATGGGCAAGAATTCTGGTTGCAACGTGTGTCCCATCATAATAGCTAATTGGAAGAGGATTCCATAGTCATGATTGTTGATATCTCTGCACTTACGATCCCAGAAATTGCATCTACCACGGCCACTACCAATGTTGGCTAGATCATGGATATGACCTTTGTAATGCTCGGCATGCTGGACAAGCTGCGGGCGCTGATTTTTGGGTATTTATGAACCGATTGGGATGCAATCTGACTGACAGAATGCGCAATGCATTGTTGAGAACCAAACCAGGAATTGACTTGTGGCGG